TTTGGTGCACTTACGCAAAATTAATTTATCCACGTTTTTGTAATGAGCCAATCAAGAATGGTGATCAAACTCTTCTTATGAGGGTACTCCAAAAAGGAAGGAAAAAAAAACCACGAAAGAAGGTTTGATCAGTGTTAGGATTGATAATAGTTTGTGCTCCAACTACATGGCGTGGCGAGGGTCTCTAAATTAGCGTAAACTTTACGAGGTCCTATGTAAAAAAACCCAACTTGCGTCCGTGTTCGTTACGCAAGTGGGTTACTCCCGCCTGACAGTGGAACGAGGCAACAGGTGTGGTTGGATATAATTTGGAAGTTCAAAAGTTTGTATCTTCGTCAATACAAAACATAGTCGTTCAAAACTAACCCCATCGGTTTTTCTCGTAAAATTTTCTTTAATGGGCAACCCTTAAGATTTATTATAAGACAAAACTAACATCAAAATGTGCAGTTTTTGCCAAAAATTTCAGTGGATCATTCTACTGTGCGCACCTCCTCGTGAGCGGGACAGTGGTCGCTCCGTCGATTCTTATCGTAAGCTCTGCGAACCTCCTAGATTCCAAAATCCAGGTTCTCTCAGCCCGATTTATACGAAGTTAGTTGAGTTGCTCAACTATCCATCGCCCCAGCTCTCCACAAAACCGCATACCAAATTCGCAAATTTAACCTTCCACCAAAATTTGTTTTGACGTTTAGGTTGTCCAGACCATGATTCAGTAGCGAATTGAAACTTCTAAAAACGATCATGTCGGCAACATTTTGAGACCATTTAGCCACCAACAAGTTAATTAGTCGCAATATACCCGAGACAAGAGACTCTCCATTGGCCTCTTGGTGACAGGTGGAGGCTTTTAATTCGGGGATTCAACGCTTCCTTACGAACAAATATATAAAGGAGCAACTGTTATATTACCTACTAGGCATATGATGAGCTTCGGGTGACGTCATAAGTCAAACAAGGTACTTGAACTTCGGCTGCTTTGCAAAAAGAAAGTCTCAGCACGTTGTCAACCATCCACCTAGTATGTAGTAAGTTGGAATTTTTTAGCCAACGTGCGTTAAAAGTCAGCATAAAGCTGAAAATCTCAATACGGAGGGAAAAAGCTCATATGAGCACAATTAGAGCTTTTTCCCTTTGTATTGAGATGTTCAGCTTTATGCTGATTTTTAACGCACGTTGGCTAAAAAATTCCAACGCAATCAGTCGCAATCAGTTTGTCCTAGTAGGTAGGTCAACAGTCGAATGTTGAAGTCCCAAAAGTAAAAGCTTCCACCATTAAAAACATACCAGTGGAGGGTCTCCTGTTTCTGAAAAATACAGAGTGAAATCAAATCCATTTAAAGTTTGCTTTCTACAACATTTCGACGATAAAACCAATCTCGCTTTGCGGCGTTGCAGACCTTCTGTTATACTTTATTTATTTAAACGAAGTGGCTATTCGTCGGTACGGTACCGACGGATAAATGGCTATTCGTCGGTACCGTACCGATGAATAAATAGCTATTCGTCGGTACCGTACCGATGAATAAATAGCTATTCGTCGGTACCGTACTTTGATTATATTAAAGATATGATTTCTTAATAATATTTTGGTGGAAGTTAAGAGCTAAAAATTGGGTGAAAGATGCAAAAAAAAAAACCCCAACACGAGTTGTAAAGAAACATTCTCCAAATTTAATTTATGTATTTAATACTCTCACATAATACTGAAATGTACTACTGTGTCAAATAAATAATCATAATACTGAAATGTACTTCACTGTCAAAGGAATCATCATAATACTGAAATGTACTACTCTGTCAAAAGAATCATCAAGAACGCTTCTTTTTTCGGCTGGTGGGGCCTTTAGTTTCATTTGCAGGTGTTTTCTTTCGTTTTCGTTTTTCGGAGGGATTTTCCACAGATTGTCGGTCGGCAACGGTGCGATTAAAGGAACAAAGTTGTCTTGCTGGCAGTTTAGGTCGCCCTCGTGAAATGACTTTACTCTTAAATTTTAGCTTCGTGAAGCTCTCTGCACTAACATTTTTGTCAGATGGAGCAGCAACAGAAACCGAAGATTCGCTAGTGGTGGAATAGCTCTCTGCACTATGATCGTTGTTAGTTGGGGCAGCAACAGAAACCGAAGATTCGCTGGTGGTGGAATAGCTCTCTGCACTATGATCGTTGTTAGTTGGGGCAGCTACGTACGGTACCGACGAATAGCCATTTATCCGTCGGTACCGTACCGACGAATAGCCTCATCCTTATTTAAAATATAAATATGATTTTTCTTCTCTGTACGAGAATTCCGTGAAAACTTCAAAGAATGGTGTTAAATTTTTCTTCTTTAAAAAAATGAAATATACCGCTAACGAGATACGTGCTTAGCAAGTTTCACCGACGATTTTTTGGGTATTATAAATGAAATGAATCCTACCAGGACGGGCAAGTCAGTAAAAATCCTCTTGGATTCTGTTTACCAACAGACAAAAATAATTTTTTATCTCTTGTGATCATCTGCGTTTGACACATTGAAGAACCGTCGAGAAGCTCTCTGCGGTTCTCTGTTCTGAAATATGTTCCCCTGCGTTAAAAATATTCATTCTTTTATAGTTATTCGCCGCGATCATAAATTAAAAGCGTTCGGACTATCGCATTCAGTTGGTTTGGTTTTCTTCCATGGAGCATTTTGAGCTGTTTGGATTTTTGATTAGCGCATGTGATAGTCAAATCTAGTTTGGGTTATTCGTCATCCATGTTCGACTGTTTTTCAGGAGAGGTATTATAATAAATATGACTGGATTCCATTTAAGTGAGTACTAAGAGAAGGAAAAATGATACAAAAGCATGTCTTTTATATGTCTAATTCTTACCCTGTCTTAATGTCCATTAATGGCTTTCCCCCCTATCTTATACCTAATGTTACACATTTTGTCGGAGATACAGTCTCTGAGGTATTCATCTGAAGAGGATTTTTTGGAATGAGGGATCTAAGATGTCTTTGTATTAAATCATTTATCGACGTCAGAGTCGTGTATTGAATTGACCAACTGAATAGGCATTTTTATGCGCAAATCTGCCCTTTGGTTTACGACTTTAGCTAGTACCTTGTTCGGACGCTGCGAGAGAGGAGGACTCAAGTTGAACTTTAACATTTTCGCAATTTATTTGTTTAACTTAAGATCCACAGTCATATGTTTCAGTCCGGTGGTCAGGTTAACTGTTTACCACTAGGCAATCGAAAGGATTTAGAGAGCGATCCTTAAGTTCTAATAATGGACTGAATGTTCAATATTTGACGAGCTTAAACGTTCAACCGAACATTCCGACAGGATATTGGCTCATCTCGCTACTCTATTTCATCATAGGCTTGTCTTTTTCCGCCTAAAATTTCTCTCACGTTCTAGTTTAGATAGAGTAAATATTACGATGAAACCAATAGTGGGTCAGTTGTGCTTGTCACGGAATCGTGTTTTGATGGTTTAAGCTTGAATATGAGCAAAAAATATACACCTGACGTTTAAACTGATTATTTTATTAAGTGTTACTAATCTAAAAACCTAAACCATGAGAACGCGATTCTATAACCAGCGCAACTGGCCCATTTCACACTAAACTCTTGAAAACTTTACAACGACGGCCAACGTTTCATATGTTTAGGTATTTTCATGAAGTTGTATCTCAGTATAAATAAAGTATTCTGGAATAAAGTATAAATATTTCAGTTAACCCTGCGTTAGAGATATGTACGCAAAAGTATTTTGTTACGAGCACACGCATGTTTTCATTATAGGCAATTTTTTTAGAGCTAATGATTCGGTGGTGTAAAAACGGAAAAAGAATATTTATTTCTAGGGTAGGCTCATTCAAAATAATATTTATTGATATTTTCGCACACTTCATCGTCAAAGTTCGCGTAAACTATTTTAAAATACAAATTTTATCATTACTAAAATTTTTTGGCGTTTATAATGATTGGATGATGCTAAAATCATATTTATTCCCAGGTCGAAAGCGCTAAAATATTTGTAATGGATATAGTTTCACGTTTCAGTCGCAAAATGAGGTGGCTGTTCATTTACTTTTGAATTGAGATCATTACTTTCTCAAGAGGGCGGACAAGATCCATTTCATTAAAACATATTATTTTTCAAGCAGTAATTGACGTAAGTTTTTGAGGCGACGATACTTCCAATTGACCTCTGGAGCTGAGATTTCGGTTCACCGAGATGAATTAGAAAATTCAAATTGCCTCAGTCTCATATCCATGCTAAAGTGTGACCCGCAGAAAATTATGAGCTCTATCCGGACGTCCGTTCGTCCGTGCAATGTAGATTCGCGAAACTTCAGTTCAATGAACTTAACTTGTTAACCCGGAAAAGTAACATAGAGAATCATAGAATCGAATTTTGATTATTTTCTGATGCCTCGTTTTCTGTTTTTGGATAGCCATTTTAGATGAGCATTTACACGCTGCAAAGAAAATTTTACTCACAAATTTCAGACGCTTTTGTTAAAAAAAGAAGAAAATAAATATATGAAATGATTACTTCAAACGCAGTAAATAGGGAACTACTTAAATGTGGTGCAAGTATTGTATTTTAACAAGGTGGAGACATGGTGCTAGGTCCAAAAAATTTCGCGGGGAACCATTTCGGCAGTTTTGTACTGGTACCCATTAGAGTTAAAACATTTATTTTTCATTCTAATTATAATTTTGGGAACTTCTTGACTTTGTTTTCCCTGCAAAATGGTGTGGACCCAGCGCCATTTCTCCACCTTGTTGTCTACCGTTCGGGCCACTTCTTAGTATTTTTTTTCCTCATATTGTATTTTATGTATACGTAGACAAAAATTCAAGGAATACACTTTGGATTCGACCTGGCTTTGATATTTACTCGGAGGAAAAAATCCCCACTAAACGGTGCTGGATAGCAGCGTTTGAATTTCAATTGAGTGCTATCCTTTTAACGTGAAAAAGCACAGTAACAAAAATATTCAGAAAAAAAATGTTGCTTACCGACAAATAAAAGCAAATTAATCCAGAGCAGGTAGCAACAACGATGAATTATATTCACATATAACTACGAAATTCCACAAATATGACAGATTTACAAAAATTAAAGCACGAATCACACTGTGAGGTCGCCGGGGGAAGGAAGGCTGGAATCCCTTCAGAGAAAAACAAATCGGGTTTTTAAAAGTTCGAAGAAACACAAAGGATTCCGATTTAAAGTCATTAAAATCATGGGTGTTGACAGAAACAGGGACACAAGGGCGCGATGTCAGCTCATGGCTACGCGGCCGGGTCGGCGGGGTCCGGCTACGGGTCGGAGGGACATTTTCGAAATAATAATAATAAAAAAGCAAGTCAGGGCGAAGAGCGGCAGTGGCGGGCGATTACGTTACGCGACCGAGCGGGAGTGGGCCAGGTGTAGTGGTCCAGCACTAATTTCACTTTCGGCGGAGACGCAGACGTCGTTACGAATGGTCTCGCGGAGAGCAGCAACGCTAGCGGTGCCCGGTGCCCGGTGCGGTGCGGTGTCAAGCCGTGAATTATCAGCTGAGAATCAAGAGCGCGCCGCGACGCCGCGCCGTGTCCGTTCACTGATAGCGACCTTAATCTTGGCCACCGTAACGAACGCGCCGTGACGTCATCGAGCCCCCCTCCGCCCCGGGGGCTGGAGGCGCCGGCGCCCGCGGCGAGATGCCCGGAAAAATTCGTAGGCACATACAACTGATAAGAAACCCGGCTCCCGATGCCGCCGCGCTCCAAGCGGCCAAGGGGTTCCCGATCGTCGAAGAATGGACCGTGCGTTTAAGTCTCTGACATTGTGGTAGAGTAGGAGAGGGTGGAGATCCAAAGATTCTGGGAAACCCTCCCCCTGGAAATTGTCAAAATAAAGCACATTTTCGCCGTTGTTAGGAATCATGTATCTTTGCCCCCCCCCCCCACATACACACACACCCTCACACACCATTAAGTAAATCCTATGCTATGGAAAATGAATATGAAGAAAAACGTTATCTTGATGATTTCATATTCAAATCCGGAGTCTGAGAGGCATCCGTGACCCTGCGTGCCTCTGTGAATGATGGTTGGCAGAATCACCCAATAGAATAAAATTAAATTTTATCTGACATATTAAAAATAAAAGTATATTCTTTTAGACGCTACTTTAAAAGGCAAACAAAGAGGACATTTGTATAATAAGATGGTCCCTGGGAATTCTCATCTTCGACTTAAAAGGATATGACTCTTCGCAGGCATTTGAGTTAAAATGATTTTCAACTCAAGTCACACGAAAAATTATAAAAGCCAGTTGGAAACCTTATGAATTATTTGAAGTAATTATGATGGTTAAATACCATTGCCGGCATGTTGAGTACATGGACTGTTGATATGGGCTTGTGCCCTTTTGCGACTGACAAGGGGACCGGCCCCTAGTTTTCAACACTCAACAGCTACAAGCTGAAATTGGAATCGATAGACTGCTATTAAAAGCTATGGACAAACGAGACAAAAGAGGAATGGCGCAATCCTACTGGTGGGATGTAGGTGGTTGAAATGGACAAAGGACGTGAGCAATGGACTAACTAAAGGCAACACGAGAGACCCTATAGTTAGTCTATCTGTTTTCCCCTAGTCTTCAAAAACCACCCGTCGCAAATCCAAGGGTGGGCCGGCCGGGTTGGCCTAGTGGTCAGCGCGTCTGACTCTGGGTCAATTGGTCACGGGTTCGAATCCCGGTGGTGGCGACTTTGCATGGAACCGACGAGTGGATCTGCAGAAACAGATTTCATTTAACCTTTGAGCCCAAACCCCTGAAAATTTGAAATCCTGGAGCATTGATGTGCATTTACCCTAACCGGATGCTCACTCAAGGTTGCAGAATCCTCAAATGGATTGAAGACCTCGTATAACTTTGAAAAAAAAAAAAAAAAAAAAACCAACAACAACAAAAAAAAATCAAAGTACGCTCTATTTTCCCTTGGTCTTTTTTGTCTACCAATTTCACTAATCAGTTGGCTGCTTTTCATCGTGCGTATATTTCAGCCCTCGCCATCCGCTGGCTCTTGTAAATTGTCTCAAAATTGGACCTTGAGTAGTGCGATTTTAGAGGCGATACGGCAAAGTTAAACTTCTTCCGAGTGCAAAGACAGGAGCCTGAGGATGAGGAGGGCAAAGTGCGGGCGAGATTGCGCGAACGCGGAAAAGAAGGCCACGCCAGCACGTGGGGAAGTCTCCTCGTCTTCGAAAGGAGGGAACACGAGATGAAAAATCAAGGACGAGATTTGAAACAACTCACAAGATCTTATGACGTTGTTGCCGTCAATGAAGACGTCTCCATTGGGATCGGTAAACACTGCGAGGAAAAATCAGATCGAGTGACATCCTGCGATCTGCCTCAAGCGCGGTCATGACGCACAACTTCCCCGGAAAATAATTAATAGAATGGTAAAATGCATCAAAGAATCAAGAATGGTTATATTTTCCTCCACGGCAAATACCTCAAGGCCTGGATACGCGCTCAAATTTCCATCAAAATCCGATCAAATGGTGACTGGTGCGCACCATCTACCATCAAAGTTTTGCGGCCTGCAAAAATTTGACCGCCATTTTTGTCATCATTTAGATCGGAAATTGACGGAAATCCAAGCGTGTATTCCTTCAGTCCGATTTGGAATTAACATGAGGTATGAGAAAGCTCAAGTTAAAATTTCATAGCCTTGTCTTCACACTCAATGAAATTTCATGACAGAGTTTCATATCTTGCAATCCGCATTAATCCATCAAAATGTAGTTAATTCACTGCACTGTGCACGCGCCTGGAACATTAGACTGTAAAGCATGTTAATGCATTCATAGAACTTGACCAAGACGTAGCATATCAACTTCAAAACGCAGGAATGCGATTTTTCCATCGTTCACCGACCAGCAGTATTTTATTTTTCGTATCAACTCGCAGGTGTTTTAGGGTGCATCCCACGACCCTTAAACATGTGAGTGAACAGAGACGTGATGTTCTGAAGAGATAGGAGTACATATCCTGCTATCAACAACCACCTAACGAGCTTATGAGTGCTTGAGGTTTTATACTAGGACGTATTTCTGCCAAACAGAACTTTGTGCATTAAGACATGAGCCCTGAGACCCATAAGAATACATGCATAACACGGCTCACGTCATAATACACATAGTCCCGTTTGGCAAAAATATGTCCATTTGAGCCTCGCACTGCATAAGACTGCATTGTTGCGAGGGCTAATTTAATAGAGTGACCTTTACTTCAAAACTACGTGAAATCAAATTCGTCCGCGCGATTTGTGATGTAGCATTGTAGTATACGAAAGGTACCGAGGAGTATTGTAAAGAGAAGCCCATTTCAATGTCTTAGAAGGCTACGTTTGACGGAGCTTTGAAGTTTGACTACCCATACCAATGAATGGCACTTTAAACGATATTTTTGCAATAAACTAAACGAGGAATAAACGCTGCTGAATAACAGGCAAAATGTTGGTATGTCGTAGTATCATTATTGACAGTAAGGTTTTAGGCAGCAACGTACGACAAAGAAACGAAGATTATTATGCCTGCAAGCTTTTTCGGGAGCTATTGGTCACGCAGGAGATAAAGATAGCGATGTCCTGAATCTACTGAGTACATTGAAAAAGAATCGTTGCTCTCACAATGCTCATAGTTGATTCCATGCCCTACCTATCTTTTTATCAGAAATTTCAATGTTACGTTAGTATTACACCAAATATTTTGGTCCTGAAAACGTTGCAATATCGCTATCGGAGCTGAACTATTTGCCGCCGCAAGAGTAACATTGTCACTAGGGCCTGAAAAGTAGATAAGACCTGGAATCAACTAACATACATACATGCGTTACGTGTATGTTCATCATTGTGAGAACAACGGAACTCTTTTCCGTCACTTTCATAAAATTCCCTCACAGCCTCTTCTTTCAGCCAGCACACTGCGGATATCACTCTTTACCAGGATAAAAACCCTGGTAAAAATTGGCAGTAGAATGTGTGTTCCAAAATTACTAGGAGCGGTAGCGACCCCGTCAAGCCTATAGAGCCTCCAACAACGAGAATGGGATACTATAGACCTAAAGCCGGCTGTACAATTTCTTATGGCCTTTTATAGCCGATGGCGATGAAGCAACAGCCAGACGATAAAGTTTATGCAAAACTAAATACGGATACTAGGACTCAGTTAGTTTTTGGTCTACCGCTCTCTTTTTGTGCCGTAATATCTTGATTTATTTTGCGAGGAAATCTCCGTACTTTTGAAGGATGCCTGTCATTCTTAATATGTTGGAGCGCCTTCAATTTCTTATGGTACTGTGCAATACCTCTGGTGTGAAATAGTTGCTTCAGACGCCGTGGCACGCAGCGGCGCGGCGGGCGGGCAGAGAGCGCTAAACGCGCATTGGCGCCTACAAACCTAACAGGGATACTTCACGCATTACGCAATGCGTGAAGTATCCCTGTTAGGTTTGTAGGCGCTAGTGCGTCGCCGCGCAATGCGTGAAGTATCCCTGTTAGGTTTGTAGGCGCCAATGCGTCACCGCTCCGCTTTGTGTTAGGCTCTAATATTTAATCTCGCAGAGTCAGCGTTTTTCAACTCATGATTTTGAAATATTTGCACACTCTGTATGGACCATCTCATTTTAATGGATGAAAAAACAATATGTTTTAAAGGAAAATATAATGTGTGTTTTGTAAATATTAAGATAGTTCCGTATCAAACTTAATGATTTCCAAAACACACGAATTTCTACACAATTTCCTATAGCCTTCTTATAGCGAATGGTGATAAAGTGTAAAGCCCGGCGATAGGAACTATAGCCCGACTGTATACTTTTTTATAGCTTCGTATAGCCCGGCCATACGATTTGCTCCGCTTTCTACAGCCAGCTATATGGTTTTCAATAGCCTTCTTTAGTCGGCTATAAGAACTCCTATGGTATTTTGAAACGCAGTTCGTATCGCCAATTTTTACCAGGGAATTGACATTGCACGACAAATACTCAAAATTTATTCAACCGTTTAAGTAAAATCAAAATTTTGCAGTCAAATCTAATAAAAAAACTTGTCATCAAGGGTCTTTTCTCAATCCGAAAGATGTGTTGATAAAGTCATATTTTTTACTCGCGACATTTTTATAGTTAATCCAAGTGCGCGGATGTTATCAATACACGATTAGGGAGTGAAGAACTAAATTCAACTCATTAGGATTGAAGGGAGTTTTTCTAAGGTTTGGCAACAATATTTCGCTTCAAAGGGGGACGCACACACGTTCATCTGATAATTTCAAGCTAATGTTGCGAAGTCCGTCCGCGCGCCGCGCGCCGGTGGACTGATCTTGACGAAGCTAGTGCACTATTATCCACCTCCTTGAGGTAAAAACCGGGGAGAATATAAAAAGTGAGCGTTTCAACCTCTACCTCGGAAATATAAAGAGAAAACATAAAAGAAAAAGAAAATGGCGTTGAATGCTCTGATCCATCGTGAATTGACAGTGGTATTTACCATAATAAAAGTTAGGGCCCAACAGTAGTTAAGCGGACATAAATCCCG